TTCTTCTCGAATAAAATGCAAAGAAAAAAATAATCGTTCGAACGGAATTGAAAACTTCTTGACTTCTCGATAGCAAGCAACGAAGAACCGATATAAAATGTGATAAACAGTGCGGTTAGTCTTGAGACGCAATGGATTAGCAACGATCAAGGGGACGATTAAAGCGTACCCGGGGCTGAACTGTGGCTTTCCAGCGAACGTTACGAAAGATTAGATTTACGTTACTCCTTGTTTCGTATTCGCTAAGCCAGGAGGCGGTCTGGCGGGAATATTCTTGGTCTCTTACCGTCTCGCTTCCTGGACGTCGCGGTCCTTTGCCAGAATGAGAATTAACTTTGTTAATTCAATTCCCGGCCCGGCCACGTTCAAACTAACTGAATTTCAGCCCCGTGCCCGTCTAAACTACCGCGTTGCTAAGTAGAGTGCCTCTCGGCTTATGTGTAATATATCTGTACACTCGGTTTGCGCCAGCTGAGCGATTATGTATGCCCGTGTATGTATATATGTATGTACATATGTATGTATGTATGTATGTATGTATGTACGTATGTATGTATGTATGTATGTATGTATGTATGTATTTTTGGGATGTATGTATGTATATATATATATTTATATATATATATATATATAATTTATATATATATAGTCAATAACAAAAGTATTCGAACATTATGCATGTTTAAATACAAAAATGTTCCATAATTTGTCTGCTCATCGCTAAATATTGTTTAACCCTATAACTACCAAACCACTAAAACTCACAGATTTTTGTTTCCTTACTTTACAATTTTTTATATCATAAAATTGTTGAATATCCAAAATTATTTTACAAATCAATAGCTGCACCTGCATACTACAACGAATGTTTCTAAAAACTTAAAAAAGTCTATTGTTCTAATTGTTATAAGAATTACATACCAATCGTATTAACACTAGGACATTTATTATACATACAATATTTATTATTTATTATACAGTTTATTCCATTATTCCCAGAAACATAGGCGTCAATTAACATACTCTGTAAACCCAATGGTAAATATTCGGTAGTTCCAGTGTTAATGATAATTTGTTTTCTATCATGTTGTGTAAATACTTTCGTTGCCGAGTGTGTACTTATGTGTATCGTCCGGATTCTTTCCTTCGTTCGCGTCCGACGGAGCAAATGCGCGGAAAGAAATAATTGGTCTGGTAACGATGCAGCAGCTGGCCACGCTAATTACAATGTTGCGAATTTTCAATTCATTTCGGGAGCTTTAATCCCTTAGTACCCGCCGTTCTTTTAGATTCCATCGAAATCTTTTAATACCTTTCTGTCGCATTGTTTTGTAATATTTGGCTACCGCGTATAAAATGACGGTTTCATCGATTGGCGCGCTTGATTACAATTTCATGAATGCAGATTGCTAACAGACGCGTGTACGTTAAATTGGAATTTCTACTGTAGTTTTTGCGACGAGCTATTTTGTTTAATGGCGGAATCATTTGAAGGCGGCTTCAAATTAATCACAACGTATGTGACGGATTAAAACGAAACCGGGAGAAAATTCATTTGCCTATTGGCATTCGGAAATTTCAAGTTGAAAGTAAATTCATATTAGGTAGCATTATTTATAATATAGAAATGTTTTCAAATAATCACCGTTCAATTGAGTGAACTATACTAATTTGATTCGGTTGGAGATCACTGATCTTTTTACAGCCACTCGACCAGTTTCAAACTTTACATTGAATTGAATTACTACCAATGTCATTCACGTCGTATTATCCAAATTTCAACTTCACATCTCTTTCCTACAAGAAATATCCCTTTAAAAATATCCTTTTCTATTACAAAACTGTTAAACACAGCTCTCATCGAACCAATCGGAAATAAGACTCACAAGACAAAGGATTGCTTTTATTACCTCCATCAAACACTATTACATTCATCGTCCTTCCAATCATGACCAACCCTTTCCAACCCCTTAACTTGTTCCTCGACACGAACAAAATTCCCAAATATCTTCATAATATACAGTACCTCCACTCTTTTAATCCTACATTGATACTTCATCTGATAATAAAATTGCATCAGGTACACAATATACCTCCGAGGCCCGTTCCGTCTCCGCGGCGATGTCTGATCGATTCGTACCTAGATGCCCGGCGCATTCTTTCCCCTCGCCTTTAAGCACAGATGAAGCCAGACGTCGGGTCCATGGTCGGACAATTTCGGTCCGCGCCGAAAGGAAGATCCCAGTCCAGCGTCTTCGGTATTTAATAAACATTCCACGAAGCCCGCAGTTTTGCTGCGGTCCGATACCGCGGTGGACAAAGGGATAGCTGTATCCCGAAAGGAGAGGCGACCCGTGGGCGGCAGAAGAGGAGCAGGAGGAAGTATCACAGGCGATGGCCGGAGGGCTTGAAATTTTTCCATCGAAAATAATTGTACGAGGTTGGAGTGGGTCGTCGGTCGGGGCTTTCATTCAATCTCCATGGTGCTTCGTGGAAAATCTGATTCGGCCGGAGAAACCGAGTATCCGGTTAGGTTACGAAAGTAATTAAATCGTTAACAGGGGACGAGTTTGCGGCGCAATCGACGAATACGTGCGGGGTTTCCACGGTCTCTCCACCCCACATCCTCTTCTCTGCTTCGCCTCCGCCCTCTCTTTTTCTCTTCCCGTCTCTCGGTTTCCCTCCATTTCCTCCCCACCTCCTCCCGGCTGATTTTCAATTTTATTCCAGGTCTCCCTTTTTTCGAGGATCCTTTGACTACGATCGTTCGGGGCCAATCATTGCTCGTTCAATTTGCCGCTGATTAATTCGCCACATGCGATTACCAATTGTTCTTGCAAGAAAGACGCGACGCCGCGCTGCACGTCCCGTGGACCCTTTGACCGTGCTCGCGGGGACGACAGTATGATCGACAATTTTGGAAAGTAGTTAATTGTCGCGTTCTTTGAGCGAGCGTTGGCGACTACAAACTATGCGATCGCGCATTGTATCTGATTTCTTTCAGAGTTTATCGAGATGGAAAATCTGGTTAACTCCAAAAGTACTGAGTACTTAACACGATTGATATCTAATCTTTTCGAAGCTTTTTATTTTCGAATATTCAATGTTTCGAAGATATAATTGCGGAACAAGAAAACCGGTCATTTTAACTTTCACGATAGTTCTAGGGTTAACAGTCGATCGGGATAGTTAGGAAATGACGTTGCCGACGGAGAAATGTTTTCGGTGCGATTGAAGTTTGGAGATTCGAATATGGAGATTAGTAATCGTTAGAATGCGAATCTTTATGGAGATTCTGGTTTTCGTGGATTGTTTTATGAACACTGGAATGGTGAAATAATTTATTTTGCTGATTAGAAGATTTTCTGTGCTAAAAATAAAGTAGAAATATTATAAATGTTTATTAACACTTTGCAGTCGATAGTTTCTCACTAGAAATGTTTAACATTTTTCGAAGATATGTAGACAACATTCTTTAACACTAAAACTACCGAGCAATTAGAACGACTTATTTCCAATTGTTTATCAAAATTCAAACAATACGTTTCTTGAGATTCGAAGGGTTTCCTAGTCTTGTACCTGTACAAATACGAAAACTTAGATTAAGTTTTAAATTGTTGAAAAATACGAAAAATGATTAGGAAAGAATGTATTTACATATTCTTCCGCTACTACCTTTTTGTTCAATCATGTTTCTACACACATAATATACAGAATTTTGTACGTTCTGCGCATATCAGTAAACGAGGATGTTAGTAACCACTAAAAAACAGTCGAAAGGTTGTAAATGTCGGAACGAGTCCAACGTGCCTTCCTTTTAAGAGTTAATCATTCGTCTTGACCCGTACATGCTCAGACTGCATTTTACCCAACTCCGCCGCGCATTAGCGGCCCTGAATCCCTCCCTACCCACGGACCGACACATGAATAATGAAGAACTATGCAAAGAGCCCGCACTTCGTATCCGTTCGCATCGTATCAATTAAACGCGGTCGGATGGCGCGTGGTCCGCGGAAGGTCGTTGACCGATTTAACCGCAACGCAGCCTCGTCTCTTCTATCCTCCGGTGACTTCATCCGCGAGGGTGTTTTTCCAGTAAAAAGGAGCTGAATGTATTAATGCGGGATCGTGTTCGAAAGGTGCATCGATTGGCCGATAGAAAAAGGCGCTCGCGAGAGTAGATCGAAGGGTGATTCCGGTTCCGGAGATGGCGAAGGGACGACAACGCAGCGCGCGACCGGAAGACCGAGAGCACCACGCGGATAGAGATATTCAGAGATGCAGCTCCGGCTACTTTGCGTCACTATAGGAGATCCTATGCGAAGCTGAATTTACATAAGCGGCTTTTCTCCAGGCGAAGCTTTTCTCTTGGTCCTAAACAAATATTGACCGGGCCACCTTCGCCTCTTCTCGCTCGGCCGTCATCTTCAAATGGTCCATAGCTGACCAGGCGCATTATACACGAACGCTTATTAAACGTTACGGTATTCCTCGGGACCCCGAGACCTTTATGAAGGACCGAATTAATTAGGAAATTTCAACATGTAGCGGCGAAGTCGAACGCCGTAGCGTTTAACTAAACGCTGCGGTTCACTTTAAATATTAACTGGTCCTATGTCGTGAACAGCTGGGAACGTACTTGGAAGTTCATTGTTTCGAACTGTTTCGATCGTTTGTCGAATGGTTTTGTCAACGAATTATGTGTTAGTGTAACTTTGCGACGAAGCGTTTGCCACTTGCGAACGTCTAATTTTTCTGTTTTTGAATTGAATTTAAAAAAAAAGAAAAATACATATTTATTATGTCTTATATTACAATATTTCAAATCTTTTTTAAACATTTTCGAAGATTTTCATGATTCAGGAGTTACGTGATAAAAGGGGATAAGAGGAATAGGAAAAAAGATACTTTAAATATTACTAATGACTTTGATGTTCTACTTTGAATGTCTGTGCAAGAGTAAAGGCGCTAACGTTGTTGCAATTTCATTTTTGTTTCAGAACGCAAGCTGTTCGTCGGCATGCTGTCGAAGAAGTTCACCGAAAACGACGTTAGGAACATGTTTAGTGTCTACGGGACTATCGAAGAGTGCTCGGTACTCAGGGATAGCACCGGAAAAAGTAAAGCCTGTGCCTTCGTTACTTTCGCTAGTAAACAGTACGCCATCAATGCCATTAAGGCTCTTCACCATTCGCAAACGATGGAGGTTAGTAGCGTTGCACTTGTAAAGTTACGAATTTCTTAAGAATATAGTATAGTTAGCCATTACACAAATCGTCGATCCAATGGTCATTGCAGCGTTATTGATTTAAATGAACGAATTAATAATTAAGAATATATTCAAGCGTCGAATGGATTCTTTATATTACACTAGGTTTATGGACGTTTATTGCACCGTTTATTCTATTGTTTATATGAAAATAGATGTTGGTTCGTTTAAATATTGTAAGTGCATCAATTAAAATCAATGTAAACGTTTACTAAATGTTTATAAAATTTAACATGCATCAAACTCACATGTTTCGTAAACCTAATGTTAATAATAACCATAACGCTATTGATTTAATCCTTTCACTGCGCTAATAGATTACAAGTTTTGTTTTCAAAACGTGTTATAAATTCAAAAGGAAATAAAAAATTGATATTTCTTCTATGTTATGTCTTTCATATTAATGCATATAACTGTGTCATATAAATTACGTAATTTTTCTTGTAAACTTGGTTGTATAGTAACAGATTCACCTTTAAATTTAAATTTACTAAAAAATACGGATTAGAATATATCCGAACGTAACAGAAAAAAGGTTAAACAGAGGAACCAATGATCGAGAATAATGAAAAATGATTAATTATCGCCGCATTCCCAGGGAAACGAAAATAAAATTAGACGGCGAAAGATAGATCGAAACGCGCGAACACGTTACTAGGAGTAGGAGAGGACGAGAGAAAGAGGTGAGTCGTTAAGAGTGCGCGGCTCGTTTCTTTTCATAGCGGTTCAATGAGGTCGTCGGACATTGGCTCGATGCCACTATCACTCGAGGAAACGTCCGTGCATCCACAACCCTGGCTGTACACTCGCCTCTCTGCTCGATGATATACCAATTTAACTTCGGCTAACCGAAACCGAGCAAAGAAAAGCTATCGAACGGACCGACGCCTCGATAATTCGGGACGCACGACTTTTCGAACACTTCTTTTCTCGTCGCGTTAACACGATCCTCCTTTTCTTCCTCGTTTTCTCCTTCTCTTCTTCGCCATTGCTTCTGCTTAATTGCCAACCGGTAAAGAAGGAACCTACGATTCTAGATGTTTGATGGGACCAAAATTGTTCAAGGAAACAGGGATTTGTTAACTCTTCGCGATTCAGTGAGGTGATCTCGCGGTGATTTAATTTCATTCCAATAACTACATACTCTAATTAAGTAATACGTGTGTTGCTGTGAAAGTTTCGGTAAAGAATGAAAAAGGTGACAAAGCCTAAACTAATGTTTTTCAAAATATTCTCCTTCAATATTAATACATTCTCCATTGTATTGTATCAGCATTTTCCAAACTTGAAAATTTGCAGCTTTACAGAAATAACAGACAACCGAATGACAGAGGATTCCCGAACCTATTGCGGCAACCTACGTATACTTACAATTTCTTTATAATTGCTCGTAATATCAATACCATAATAATAAAATAAAAATTTTCATTAAAATCACTTACAATATCGTAAACATATGGTCCAATCTTAGTGCTCGTCGAATGTTCTTAAATAAACTGCTAAAGCATTAAACAACAATAGAATTCAGTAGCATCAATACAAGTTTAGCAGTGGAACACTTCGAACCGCAAAGGGTTAAACTTGTTCCTTAAGCAAACAGCGATATCGTGAATCACGAGTTGGTAATCCGTGACGCAAAAAGGCTGGTGCTGTTTCGATTTCGATTTTGGAAGTATCCCGATAAAAGTTTCAACGGATGTGCTGGGTAATTTAATGTAACTATAATGGAGTGGGAGGGTAGACAGAGGAGAGGGAGAACGCTTCCGAGCTGAATTCCACACACTCTGCGGAATTGTTTCTCCCCGTTCCAACGCGGTACGCCTATGCGATGCACTATTTCGAACAGTGAAAGCAAATCGTGCCAAGGCATGCGGGTACCGACGGCAATTCCATTTTGATATCATGAATATTTCCTGTCGCAGGTTCCTCGAACTTGCTCGTCATGGTTCACTTAACTGGCACGATTTCGTGCTTCCGATCTCCCGCGTAAACAGCCTCGCGTCCCATGCTCTTCCTTTATGGCTACGAGATTGTAGAAAACTCCGAATTTCCGATTGCATAATTATTGCGACGAGTTCGCTCGAAAATCCCCGACGGTCTCGTATCGTTTGACGGAAAAGTAACATTGGATGTTGTAAGTTGCTGAAAACCGAAACAGTTTAAGTCACTGAAGAAATCTACATTCTGGCAAACTTCAAGGAGCGTCTCTTTGATGTTTGGAACATAGAAGACACTGATTTATTTTGTACGTTAACGAGTCAATTTGGAGGACTTCACGACGATTTTCGGACTTTTCAGTGTATTCTATGCTACTCCTTTGAAATGGGAGTAAATATATACTAAAAAATATAATGGAATAGGAGTAAATGTATACTAAAAAATACAAAAGTATATAAATACAAAAACACTCGAAATAGTATTTTTTGTTTCTAATTTAACGGCGTTCAGTTTTAATGTACTCCATTTTTCAAGAATTTATAGAATTTAATCATTGCTGATATAAGAGCCAATAAATAATTAGTGTCCTCGAATATTTTTTAAGAGGAGCGAACGTTCCGAACGCAACGCCTGCCGATTCTCTTTGCATTTACGTAGGAATTCTTATTCCGAGAACGTCCGCGAATCGCACACCCGCTCTAAAACAGACATAAATATCGTACACTTTAATATTTCCTTATTCCAGGGATGCTCGTCGCCGTTGGTAGTCAAATTTGCAGACACGCAGAAGGAAAAAGATCAGAAGAGGATGCAACAACTCCAGACGAGTCTTTGGAATATAGCTGGAGTCAACATGGCGCCGCATTACCTGACCGTCTGTACCTTTAATATTTTACAACCGACCTTTTTACCCGATATCAAAGAGCCCATTTGCATCACGAATGAAATACTTTCTCATAAATTTATTTTCCTGCTGCTCTAAATATTGCTCACGTATATATACTGCACACGTGCACGGAAAAAGGAAAGATCGAGATCCACTGTTCGAAACGCGTCTTCCGAGGTCCCACTTCCCATCTCGTGTAAAAATTTTCTTCCTTCCGTCGGGAATTTTTATCTTCTCGCTGGATTTCCGGCGAAATCCCGTGCAATTAAAACGCTAGATCGTCGGCGCATCACGGAAACGTATAATCTTACTATCCTTTGGTAAATTGTCTGCGGTGGACAGATTCAAATACGCACGAGAACTCGCTTCTAATTCCGCAATTAAATTGTATAATTTCGCTCGCGCTTACTGTCTATCAGGAACATAATTAATGTCTTGAATTACGCGATATTGACCGGCACGGTATCGCGTATCGGGTAACGTTGGTAAACATTATATTATAATCTGAATGAAAATTTCAGAGTCAATCTATCGCCGAAAGTTAGATTATATGAATATTCTGTAAATTAGAAATTCGCTTTCGTGAATTATGAATCATGTTTGACGATCACCGCTAAACGGAGCTTCCAAATTCCTTGAAAACGATTACAATAAAAAAATTAATGTCGATAAACATACACATGTAATTCTTCCTTGTTTTGCTTTGGTTTTTCATTAAAATATCCTAGGTATATTCGTCCTGCGTTTGACGAATGCACGCTTCATTTTTTTATTTTATTGTGCGCAAAACAAGAGATTTCTCAAACTAAATTCCACAGTTAACAGGTTAATGATATTCACGATGTAACAGTTCTTTTTACCAAAGTGGGCCATCTCTCCCCGACTTACCCTATAATAAAAAACGCTTGAAATTCTCGTAGCAATCAATGTGTTAATTTCGTGCAAATGAAGAAAAACAGGGTAGCATACTTACGCAGGCCCGGTATATTTATTTACAGAATGATACGCCTACTCTGGCTCCCACCTCGTTGCAATTATTGCAACAACTTCAGGCGACGACCAGCGCGGCGACTCCGGTTGCAGCAGGTGCTGGCGCGAGCGCTCTGTCGAATGTTCAACATCAATTATTGTTGCAACAACACCTCGGCCTCGGTGCAGCGACCCCTGCGCACGCTGCCGCACCTGCGGTACCCAGTCCACCTGAAATCAACCCTGCGAACCTTCAAGGATTGGCCACCCTGGCATCGCTGAGCAACACCGCCGGTGAGTATGGTTAGTGTCCTTTTATTTTTTATCTTTTACGTTCACTCATTCTTCCATTATTCCTTCTTTATTTGAACTGTTCACAGACCAAAGTGATTAACCCCCTTACCATACAATATCGAGTTAGACTCTTGAGGAAGTCCTGAAACAATTCATATTAAATGTAATACTATTTTTGTATTACTAATTTTCATGTTTTGAATTGAAAGATATAAATGAATTGGGAATTTTTTGTTCGTTTTTGATCAATTACTAGTGACAACGTTATCCTAGCTCTATTGTGAAAGAAATCATAGGACAAGGGGTTAACTGTATTCTTTTCAACGTGTTGGTCACTGTTCAACTGTGTCACTTGAATTTTTATGTAGATATGATAATTAATTTTCTACATAACATAGAAGACAAATCAGATTTTCTTGAATAATGAGACCCAAGATGGTTAAGAAATCAATTCGTTTGAGAAATCTTGTATGTTTAGTTTTTGTTACGTTAGAAAAGTTGTAATCTTATAAGTAATTTGACGAGTGATGATTGCATGATCAACATATTAATTATTTCATATCTGAATCCCAGGACTATTTATATTCTAGTTATAACTATGAATTAATCGATTCCTTCAACTTTTGCTCAACTCAATCACTTTGGCAAATGAATGACTCATTTATTTGAGTCGACTCATTGATCATTAAGTTGCGTCTTTTAGTATTGTAAATCAAGCACATAATAATAAAATTTTAATCTAATTTTAGTAGACATAAATGTTATTCGATGACAAACCATGAGCGACAAAATAACTTAATTCTTGCAATTGTGAATCCAAAGTTGACTTAAAGCGATCGACAGTTACCAAACACACTATCGTCCATAAATTTTAGAACATATATTGTCTTCGAAGAAATTTATGGAATTCATGATTCATGCTTACTAACGGATACACAACACTGAACATTTAAACTCCATTGTCCCGCTGAAAGTTTCGCGTTATCACTTAATACTTTCGCCTGCCGCGGGTACTAAATCGTCGCGCGTTGATCGTGTCGCCTTTCGTTTCGTAACATTCATTCGCGGCCATGTTTAACCATCCCGTATATTTTCCGCCAGTTGTCTACGCGATAATAAAATTCTACGTTTAATGGGCACGGGAAACACGCCAATGCTATGAGAAATCGATGTAGATGCCCGCCATTAGCGTTCATATTAAAACGTGTGTTTATTGCTGATTGCCGAGAAATGTATGGTTACTCGATGACGCACCAGATCTTATGCAACCGTCCGTCCAGGTCACTTGCGAACCGATACACTTGTTTGCAGAATGTTTGTCATCTTTGACAAGTCACCTGACAAATCACATTTTTACTGCTATCGCTCTGTCGCATCTGTTTACACTGTTCGATCCGGTATGGAGTTACGGTGTTTTTAGCCGGCGAAACTGTTACTTCTTTCTTCGGTGTAAAAAATCTGTGTAGACAACAGTGTCTGCAGACTATAAAATTTCAAATTTCCCAGTTGCAAGTTTCAAGATTCAAGTTTTCAAACTTCATGTTCTCAAAATTCAAATTTTCGAATCTCAAGCTATCAGATTTCAAGTTTTCTAACTATAAATTTCAAACTTCAAACTTTCAAACTTACAAATTAAGATTTAACACTTTGATGGCTAGATCGCGCAACTTAATCATCTCTAGTTAATAATTTCATTCTTTCCAAACTTACCAGACGAACAGAACTCTCGAAATAGTCTATCTCGAAACTCTTAAAGTCCTCAAAAGAAACACTTTAAAATACTCATTTCTAATACTGTACATTTTCCTAAAAATGTTTCCTAATAACAAAACCAAAGAAATAGAGCATTCTGCGGTCAAAACAACGACGATCCTATTACTTTCCAAGAAACAATTACATTTATATCTATAAAATACCATCTACAACAGTGTTCAGAGAACGCAGAGACGGCATGTGATAAATGTCGCAATAAGCAGAGTGCGGCCGTCAAGGTGTCAAGGTTCTTTACAAGATCGTTTCAAGTTTCGAGCCGTATCAACTCCCCTTCAATCTCCTTCCCCGTTGGACGTGTTATTGTCTAATCTTCTCATGAATTCCCGTCGAAAACGTTTCAGCGAACGCCGGAGTCTCGCCGATGAGTATGCAGAACCTCGTCACCCTGGCTGCGATGACTGGTGGGAATAGCAACCTTCAAGTATCGCCAAACAGTGAGTAGCGAAACTTGCACGGCACCGGAATTGTAGAAGGCAGTAACACGAAACGATCGTGCATTGTTGTCCACCTCTCCGCCTGTGTAGACAGAATTGCCGAAAAACGGCGCGCTTTCGGAGAGGTCTCGCTTAAACGTGACAAATCTTGAATAACAGCATGCTAGTACATACACCAGGCCCGTCTCGGCAAGAACTGTGTAGCTGATTGTAACAGAATTTCCACGTGATTAAAACGCGACGTTAACGCGTGTCATTACCAAATAACCGAGGAGTTTCATTCAGAAACTGTCTGCATTGTGTGTATATATATATATATATATGTTTGTGGATCGTACTGAGAAACGTGAAACGCTCATTGTTCTAGTCGCATTAGAAGGATCATTCTGTTCAGTTCAAACCATAAGACTTTCGGTGATTTTCAATTCAACATTCGCGAAAGATCTTCCTTAATATCATTAACCTTGCTCCGGTCCTCAACTTATTTACATGTTTCAAATATCATCGTGATAAGTAGAAATGCACTAGCAATTGTTTGATTATACTCGGTTTCAAATTTAGAAGTATTGAACAAAAATGAGAGTATGGTTATGAAAACACATTGGTGTTAGAAATAAACCAAGGTACGCAGCACGGTTGACACGTTCGCTAGCGACGTTTTATATTGTAATTTCATATTTTATGCAATGAAAAGATAAATTAATGTATTATGGATGTTTATTAAAAATCGTAACTTTCAGAGATTACTCTTGGAATATCTGTACCTTCTTTCGTAGATCCTTTAACACTAGAACTACCAAGTGTTTAATACGATTAATATGTAATCCTCCTAAAAATGGTAACAATAGATTTTTTCTGGTTTCCTCGTATATACGTTATAATATTCAAGTGAAACTATTTGGAAAATCGTTTCAGATAGTTGACACCTTTAAGATATCGATAATTGCGAAATAAGAAAATTGTAACCCTCCATTCTTACGGATGCAGTAGTTCTAGTGTTAAATATTTCATAAACAGGGTACTTTGGATTTATCAAACATCGTCCTTATGGACATTGCCATACACAAATGACGGTAGCGAACGTGTCGAAAACATTTTTAATCCGAGTTTCCTTCGAAATATAACAAATAAATATTGTCTTCTGCATCGATATATCTTTTTGTTACGTGAGATGACTTTCGTGCCTGACAAATGGCAAGGCAATAATTCTGTTCTAGCAATTGCCCGCATTGCACGACGAATACCTTATATCGTAACAAGTAACAGCTAAGTAAATTTCACCGAAGTTTACGTGCTGAATATGTAAACACGTTACTAACTCCGCTTGTTAATATCGTGAACGTGTTCTGTGTTTCAGCGTTAAGCGGACTGGCGAATTCGACAGCAGGTATGTCGCTATGTACGTGTCGCATTGCCTGGTATAGTATTAACCAGTTACTAAATTAATTTCGATCGTTTAGACGGATTCTAATCTCGTTCGCTGCTCGATATTCGCTTAAAGACGACGGGAACGCGCGTGGAATGGACGCGTCCATGAATCCACGGTCCTGTGTTCCAGTACTCGTTACATACCCATCAATACTGCTCATTCTACACCCTTCAAGATTACGTTACTTTAATATCACTTCCATTTCATACGTCATCGATCAGAAATTATGCACATTAACGCGTTACCTGGTCCATCTGTACTTTTAGATGTCTACTAAATTGGATTTCACGACGTCTGATGGTTTTCGCATTCATTTAAAACCTAATTTGTATGTTTTCAGTGTTTTTACATCAAATTTTGGGTTTTCAATTTCATACTGTGTATTTTAAACATGTATACTTTAAACCATTTTTGGGGTAAATAACTTTTCAGTTTACCGAGAACTAAAAATAATTCTAAAAGGTACCTACAACAGCAAAAAAGGAAATTATTAAAAATATTTCCTTTCCTTGTCTATTCTTAAAGTGATAGTTCGTTTATTACACAGAATTTTCAATTACAAATTTTCCTTTATCCGGCATATTGCATCCAGTTTCTCAAATGCTCGGTACTCTTCGAGTGCATCAAAAGTCACTGGAAACCGGGGAACGCATTAAAAACGTCACAAACCATTGACCGACGCGGATTAAATCCATCATTGTCAACTATCCGATCAGCAATTCAGTTATACATAAAGCCGTACATTTTATCACGTCTTTCTGCTTCGCAGCATCTGTTTCACTTCGCATATTAATTTTAATATCGTCAAACATCCGGCAACAAACGGTCGCTTCGGTCGGAGGTATTAAAACGACCGTTACAATTCCATTGAGGCTGATCAATGCACCGTTAAATGAAATCCATGAAACTTCATGAACTCTGTACAATGAAAAACGCGTATAATTTGCCCATTAATGTTTTCAATTAAATTGATCACCTGCGTCTCGATCATCGTCCGCCATACTTTGACCGGAAGCTATCGCAAAGACGACGAACCCCTGCTCTCCGAGACCTGCGCGCACTGTTTCTTTTGTTCGTTTCGTCGCACGTCAGCGTTTTTTTTAATATGCACATTTTTTTTCGTGCGTAGCTGTCCTTCTTGGAAAAACCGGAAACACAGGTGAGAAGAAACCACTGAAAGCTGTCGCTCAGTTCGTTCGTTTCTTTTCTCTTCGCTCTGTACTTCTATCTTCCTTGTCTATCTCTCTCCTCTATATATATAAATCTATCTACCTATCTATCTATCTATCTATGTATCTATTTATCTATCTATTTATCTATCTATCATATATCTTCATCGTAACTCTGCCATCGTCCTTATATTGTCCCCGCTCCGCACGCGCGCTCACACATCTATGTACATACGTTTCATCACTAATTTGATTTGTAATTACTGTTGGCCGTTTAATCGATAGAACGGAGCTCACCCCGGGTGCCCGCGTATTAATGAGGCTTGAATACCTCCGCGCGGACGTTTCGTCATACCGGAAACGCCGCAAAGACCGTTTCTTCCGCGATCGGAATTGGAAATGTCCATTTCGGTGAGCTCCGTGCTTACGTGCGCGCGCGCGCGCGTGTGCGTTGCGTGCGTACGTGCTTGCAAAGACTAAAACCGAAATAATTATTTCGACGATACACGTCGATCCGAAACGGAACCCGTCTCGCATCTGTACCATGCCGCCAGTGTATTTATAGTTCACGCGATACCTGCGCAAAATGCTTTCTGTATATATTATATACATATATATATATTTATATTCATGAAATAACAAGTGAAAGAACAATTAACAAACGCCGAAGTATCCGTAGATGGAGGAGAAGGTTTATCTTTAGTACATTTTTTTCTATTTTTGTTCTTTGTGGTAGCATGAGGCATGCCAATTGGGGAATTATACTCGGAAGTTAAACTTGTTAGTCTTGGATAAAGCTGTAGAAAAATAGTGGGTCGACGGATGAACGTCACTGACGGTTTCTTTTCGATTTTGAAGGGTCCACCGGTGGCAGCCTCAGTCCTGTGACGTCTCTAGCGCTGAACTCTTTGACGGGGACACCGTTGAACGGTTTGCAAGACTCGTTGAGCAACGCCTACTCCAGCCTACAGCAGTACGCAGGTAAGCGTCCAGAAGTGTGGCTAAGCTTGTTCGCGCAACCGGTCGATTTGATCAATGAAAAAATGCAAAAATCTATTGTTCTACTATGGACATTGGTCCGTGAATGTGTTGTTCTAACGAGTAACTGTGCGCCTTAAAGCTCTCATTGGAAAGACGTCGGTGACCATGGAAAAGAAAGAATTGCATAGTGAGTAACAAGAGTGGAATGCCTGAATTCAGTTCTGTACAATAACGCCGGGATTATTCTTTTTATATATATACATAGATTCGATTATGTTCCGTATAGTTGTTTGCACGTGATCGAACGAGTATTTTCGATGAGTTTACGTGTTTTGTTCGATACGCGGAAACGTGTATGCGATGAGAGAGGATCTTTGTTCTTTGTTTACAAGGGAACCTTTTCAACCAGTACACGTCGATTTTGATGAAACTCGTGTGAAACATATTTGAAATCCCCCAATGTTCCTCTCAAAGTTCAAGGTTGAAAGCGTATTTTTCATGTTGTCTCTGAAACTAGGGGTGTAGAAAGAAAATATACCGTAGTTTCACAAATATTGTGAAGAATATACTTTCAATCCTCATCTTTGAGGGGTGTTTTCACACCTTCAAAACGGATGTTGGCCGATAAGAACAAGAAAGTGTCAAATATTTTCTTGAAAACTATGCCTTGCATAAATTTCATCGAAATCGGCGTGTACTGGTTGAAAAGGTTCATTTGTTAGGATCTTGATTTGAACGCGTGTTCTAACGAGTTCGAGGCGTCATTAGCTTATACGTTCCCTTTCGTTGATAATGCAAACTGTTCTATGGCATGGAATGCATATTTCAAACGAATGTACTTTTAAGTTACCGCCGATTATGCTTTTGTTTATTGAACAATCCACGCATTGCGAAAATCCTAACTCACAAGATACGTAGTTACCTACCAGTCTCAAAATTGATTCCAATTAATTGGAATTAAAATCTGTTGGGTGATTATAAATTTGTTTAAGGTTCGTGGAAACCTTTCTACTGTTTTCTTGGGATTCATTCGTCGCGAATTAATTATTGATACTGTTAAAAATTCAATTCTTTTATAGTATCTTAGTCTAAGTTATTAAGAGCTGAGACACTTTGGAAAATGCGAATCTAGTGAGATGCGAGGAATTGAATGATCGGCTTTTTTCAAGAAACCTGTTTAATGAACTTGTAAGTGAGGTGTCCATTTTTTCAGGGTTCCCAGCGTTCACTGCAGCAGCAGCTGCAGCTGCGGCGGCGGCTCAGAAAGCGAAATTCGTCACCACGGACAAACAGATCGAGGGTCCCGAGGGCTGCAACCTCTTCATATACCATTTACCGCAGCAGTTCAGCGACACTGACCTTGTTACTACGTTTCTGCCGTTTGGCAACGTGATCTCTGCCAAGGTCTTCATTGATAAGCAAACGCAGCTCAGCAAATGTTTCGGTAAGTAGTGTGAAGCCAATTTATTTTTCAGTCAACGATAGGTAATAGATAATATAGTAGACCCTCTTGAAACGCGTTTCGTATAATCAGTTCCCTTAACCTCTTGCCGTATGATATCGTTTCAAACTCGTGATGAAAATAATAAACGAAACTTGACAAATCGAAACGTTGTTTGCTTATTTCGTATATATATTAAATATTACTTCCCTATTCTCAATCATTCAGCTCTGGAGTAGACGTTGACTTAAAATAATTGAAGTCGTGAATTCCAAAACAGTACAAGTCCAATTTCTAAATCCATATGAGTTATTAATATGACCATTTTCAGCTTACTCAGACCTATTTAATAATATTAAAAATTGAATAATATTAAAAATTAAAAATAACACGCAATGAAGATGTATGTATAACCAATGCTTGCAGCAAGAATCAAGAAAATAGGTACTAAGTGAACGAAGGTAAAAAGAAAAATTGATTTTCTCAAACTGTTGATCGGCCGACTTGTGTTGTTTTGAAATTCAAAGCTTCAATGATCAAATTCTTTCCTTTTTCTAATAATTATTAACGATAAAGTACGCACATTAATCATAGTTCTGAAAGAAATCATAGCACAAGGGGTTAAAAGAATGAAAATCAAGCATGTAATGGTATCGCTGTCACGAATTGTTTTCAGGCTTTGTGTCGTACGACAACGCAACGAGCGCGCAAACAGCGATTCAGGCGATGAACGGTTTCCAGGTTGGCATGAAACGGCTGAAGGTCCAGCTAAAACGATCCAAGGATGCATCGAAACCCTATTAGCCGGCGTTGCCCACCGTTCGTAGGTAGATACCAAGGGCTTCTCGGGTACCACGGCTCGGATCCAACGACCCTGGTGTCCATTACCGAAAAGCCAATGTTCACGCATTTGATAAGTCGCGGGCGTCGATCGCTGATCGGGACGTTCCTCGATCCGATCGGAGGAAGATAGACAGGCAGGAACACGGTGTAGTCAGTTGGCGGTCCGCCAGTTAACCGTTTCTAGTCAAACAGTATTTCTCGATGGCAGTACAAACACTACAGAAATTCGAGAGAGCGTGTTTCCTTTCTGAAGGGGACACCCGGTAACTCGTGTTGCACATTTCCTTTTTAAGAGCCAGCGTGCAATCATCCTTCGAAACGAGGCTGTGATAATCTTGAAGACTTGAACGTGTCATCGAACCTTATTTTTTTGTTTTCCGAGTATTATACATCTCGACATTTTTTGCGACGTTTATACATATTTTCTTCTGTTTTGTCAGTCCGTCCATTATTTCTCTGGTATTCTCAGTACCTACGAGAAAAACGAAAATGAAGTCTACCTTATTATTCTTCGTGTCTCCTTCTATACTTGTATCTCGTGGTTAAATACGTGTTTTATGGATGTGTCGCTCTTCGACAACGGAATCTCGATGAAGCAAACACTCTCTGCTCCCTTTTCTTGAATACAGCGGTGACTCGAGGCATTTCAGTTCCTTGTTTTATTTATTTATTTATTTATTTTTGTTTTTTCTTTTGTTTTTCATTCGTGGAGGAATCATTCTAATGCTTTCCGAGGTCGGTTTGACTAAGCGCTAGTGAAAATGTTGCCAATATGTGTTCAATTAATATGTAGACGAATAAGGATACTTCTTAACGTTTAAACAGTCGTTGTATTTAAGGAACATCGTCACTGATTCTGTGCACGAAACAAATACGTAATGATATGATTCGTGACGAGCTACAGTGCAATCACTGTCTTTCAATGATAACTCAATTATCATAAACTGATAGAAAAAAGTAACTTACTGTATTCTCGAATTTATTCGAATTATAAATATCTGTTTTTTAACGTATACGTATAAAGATAAAATTCTTCAGTCCACGTACTTTACAGCTTTAAAATTAAGTAAATAAATAAAAGGAAAAAATACACGAGAACAATTAATATCTGAGGAAAAAATCTTGTATACCGCGCCTAGTGAAATGTATTTTTTTTGTGTACAGTATTCCAAGACGAGGACTTTACTTTTGTGTTTCAAGTACAAAAAAAAAGAATCATATCCATCGACGTAGGGCTTCAGCCAACGAAATATTTCTGTACATAACGTTACAGCATCACATTGTAATAAGACATACGCTCGCTTGCCAGTGCTCGTCCTTCAATTTTCTCTAAAGATGCAAGCCCGCACTTGGCCCTTCTACCGAACCCCTCTCTCCGCCCCTGCCCCCCTCTTTTTCTCGCGCCAGTGGTGTAATCAAACTTCATTTCGTTGCAAACGGCTGCCAATCAAGCTTACTGTGCTAACTTTTGTGCACAAAGTGGAATTACGTACGTGAAGTTTCACTAACATTCTCCGTTGTTACGAGCTTTCCTCAGGAGAATCGAAACGAAACAAAAAGAAAGAAGGATCCAGAAGAAAGAGTAAAAAAAAGAAACAGAATGGTAGTTCGCTTTGAGTTTTCTGTTTTTCACACGCACAAAACGCGAGTTGTTGATTTACGTTTAACCGACGACCGTCCCGAGACTTTTTGCTTCTCTATGATTTTCTTTGTTCCCGTTTAATACACACAAGCTGTTGTCTTTGTTAATTTTATACACATCTACATATTTATATATACATATACACATCTACGTATTTATACACACACACACACACAAACACACACACATATTTTCGTAACCACCCACGAATGCCATGCATTCTCCTCACTGGCAGGTAGCGATCGAGCCGCAAGTGGTCTACCTCACTAATTTTGTCATGATTACGCCACTATTTTATTATGCAATCACCGCGAGTCAGTTCCTCTCGTTCGTTGTACAGGGCACAGAATTTCGGAACACGTTCCACTGTGACAGTAATATCACGAAGTTTGATGGTTAATTACGCTATGACGCTTTATTAGTTGTTAGTACTAACATTGCCGTGTGTATTTTTTTTCTTTGGGATATCGCCGATCGTCGTACGCGCAGCGATTCGTCGACCCTTTCCTTTTCATTCGTTTCTTTATTCTTTCGAGCAACAAGCTCAACCACTCCTCGGCGTAGTGTAACCTGAATGAAAGAAAACTTTTCGATGAATCGTAAAGTGGCGAGGACGAAGCAACGAAAACGAATATTACTCATACTTGTTCGAAAACGTGGAACAACATTAAATTCGAATATCATTGGTTGCTTCCGTTCGACGACGACGTATTGGCAAACTACCTGCGTACACGTTGCACGGTGCCGTATACTTTCCGCTTGTGTTGTAGCTATCATCGCCGAAACTCGACGTGTACCGTCTAACTTCACTACTTCAGCAAGCAATTCGATATCATAGATATTATACTTTCGAATCACCGGGAAGATCAAATTAATCGATAACAATAAACGACGCGTAAATGTAGTCACCGTGCACGTATACCCAGGGAATCCTATATATCTGGTGTGTGGTGGTGACTAACCTGTCCGTGTGTTTGTTTGTGTGCCAGCAGGTGGCCTGTGACGTTGTGACCGTGTTCTCGATCGGAGTCGCCGTGCCATGTCAGTCTCAGTCAGTCAAATCGGTCAATCGTTCGATCGATCAGTCACGACTCCTTGGTCAGCCTCTTGATCAGTCATTCTGTGTCTGTCGGTGCCTGTGCACATCTGCCCGCTGTCTCGATCCTCTCGCAAGAAGCGGCTGCCCGCTGAAACCCTCCAATCCCCGAACCCCCGACAACCCCTTTTCATCCTTCTCCCGACAAGACCCACGAAAATCCGATGAAAGAATCCCGAAAGACGAACAGATGCAACAACCGAATCCATCCACCTACGAGCTACCTCCAACGTGTTTCGTTCCGTGTACACCGTGCGACATCCACGGTCGCCGTTGTTCGGTCCCGATCCAAACTTAACCGGAACACGAATGGCACCGATTGTCGATCGCGGCGCGCTTACGGCACCCTCTAACCGCCGCTATGTAATAGAGCCAAGTAGAGAGAAGGGGATCCCCCGAGATATCATCGTCGAGCCGGAGCTAGAGCGGACCAAGCCAGCCGCGAAACTTTGAGTCAAGGCGCAGGATCGGAACGAATCCGGGGCAAATCGTCGTGGGACAAATGATTGAAACCCGCGGCGTGCAGGGTGTCTAGCGACCAGGGGACCGGACCGGCCGATCATTATCAGAGTCGGGGATTTAGAAAAAATAGACGAAAAAAAACAGAGAGAAACCGGAATGACAACCTAGCGAAGCGGAAGTCGGAGACATCGGCGCACAAGCACTGTGTTTTATGTTCCTCGGGCTGAACTGTGACACGCTACCTTTATCTCTTTGTTTCTTTGTATGTGTACATATTACGTAGCATATACGAACACGTGTGCATACCCATGATATCTCTGTGAGTGTGTATGTGCGTGGACACGCGAGCGGACGCGGGCGCGCGTATTCGTGCGGTCCCTGGCTGATCGACGACTCGGATCCCCCGTCGAACGGGGAGGAGGCGAAATCGATTCTCAGATCAAGCTGTTCGTGGACCTTTAGCGTAAGGGATATGTTTCGCGTACAATCACTAAACCTGGAAGCTGTTGAAGGTACCTTGTACCATACCGAGTAACGCGTAGAGCACGGCTGTAATTAAGATTAGCGATTCAGGGAATCGATCCATTCGATCGACTCGCACCATTCGGGATCGCCGTCAGCGTCACGAGAAACGCCTGTTTCATAATGTACATACACGCACTACGACCTGCCGGGCTAAGCAGAACCGAAGTAATTAGCGATGAAAAGCGTAGGACAATGATGAGGGATAAGGGGACGCGAGGAACGGGACCGCGACGCGAACGCGAAGCGGAGACGAACGAAACGGTCATGCGCCGGTTCATCGTTGTAAATTTAAATGGTGTAAAGATTACCAAAAAAAAGAACCAAAAACAGAAAAAGACAAACGACGGTCGGAACAAGGAATATTTAAAAAAAATAAAAAGATGAAAAAAGAATGATGACGTGTAGGAGAAACGAATACATAAGTAGCATTTTTTAATGACTTTGTGATAAAAAAAAAATGAAAAAAAGAAACGTTGTACCGTATATAGGATTGGACTAGGGTCGCTTTTTTCGGAGTCTGTGTGATAGAAGCGTGAAAACGTGAGATGTACACTTTTTAACGACGAGAGGCTCGCTCGGCGACACGACCGTGTTTCTCGTCATCAAAGGATTCACTGAACGCGCACGCGATCGTTCTCTCTCTTTCTCTCTCTTTCTCTCTCTCTCTCTTTCTCTCTCTTTCTCTCTCTTTCTCTCTCTTTCTCTCTCTTTCTCTCTCTCTCTCTCTCTCTCTTTCCTAGTTTTGTTTTTCTTTTCTCATTCGACGGTACCGACCGGGACGTTTTATCGTTTATTCGTGTCTCATGATCTCTGTGTTGGGTCTCACGCCTAGACGGATGTACCAGCCCATCGAAAGGAACGATACGTCGTGCCCTGTGTACATTTTTTTTAGTGCGTACAATGAAAAGAAAAAGAAAACGGAAAAGCGAATACATGCCAGAGAATACATTTTTACTTTCGCCGGGAAATTCCGTTCGGCGAGTCACGCGGATATCCAGTCCGACGAATTAATCTTGAGTCAGTAACAATTCTTAACGTTACGGTACCCGACGACAAACGTGGAAACGATTTTACGGATTATGTGTAGGTAGGTAACGCATCGATGACCATCTTTACTAACTTTTGTTTCGTCTGCGTAGCATTAAGTTTTTAGAAAAAAGGAGTACAGATACGACCAAGATTGTCTTTTGTTTTAATCTACCCTCGAACGATTGGGGGAATTATTGCACGGAATCGAGGACGCACGCGATCGCCGTTACTGATGCAAGATTAACTCCGTTCAAGTACTTAATATATATATATAATATATATATATATATTTCTTTTTCTAACCTTCGGTCGAGAAAGGTTTGCGATTTCTGTGTAGGAGAAAAGAAGAAATCGGAGAGTCCGGGAATTCGAATGTGCGCATTTGTTTTACTTTCATTGGCTGGGAAGGAATGACAATTCAAAGAATGGAAGGACGGAAGACTAAAATAAAAGGAAATTGATAAAGGACACTCTAAAAGAGATATATGAAGTTGAAAGTATTTCAGTTTTAAATCGATCGCCTCGCGGTAATTGGACTGATCGTTTATTTTACTTTAAGCGTACACGCTTAATCGCGTCACCGGGACAGGTTTCTTTGGAAAATGTAGTGAAATTATTTTTTATATCAAGTCTGAAAATTCTGGGATACGAGAATCACGAAGTAGAGTGGAAATGATAGACGACAGCATTTTTTAGGCAAATTTGTCTTGGTAATACGATTAAGGGGATTATATTAATATAAAAAAAAGGGACAAGCAAAGAAACAAAAGCAGCTGATAAATACGAATCGACTCTCTTTCCAATCATTACCATGAATCGTCTTTTTCTCATCGCCTTTTTCTTCTTTCCTCTTCGTTATTAAAGGGTTTCTTTCAATTTTAAACACCAGCTACAGTTTGCTTCGCATAGTGCTTATTTCTTTGAATTTCGCTAAATACATGCTCGAAACAAGTTATTTTTCAAATACAATAACACAATTCACGCGCACGGGTCAAACCAAATGAACGGAGCGGCAAACGCTAACCAGATACTTAGAATTTCCATGAAGGAATAACGAAACGTACACTGTGCTCCACTAAAAACAGGTCTCCGTGTACGTTGAGGTATAAACAAAGTGTTCAAGAAAAAGTTTAAATGGTTTCGTAAAATGTAAATTGATTTTCTTCTGACCGGACGTTTAACGTGCGCCATTAACGTCTTCTTCGTGCATTGAAATCTCTTTAGCACCGCTATCTTTACTTACCTTAATGACTTTTTAATGAAAACTTCACTTAATCGATCGTTTGACAATCATGAAAATATCATTACAAATTATTCTCCGACAGAATACTTGTTTTTAAAAAATTTATTGGAAATAGAAGGATTTACTGCAACTGCAATCACTTTTTGATAAGATATTGTATTGTATTAGACGATTTTGCTATACAAGTCCATTTAATTTGTATTTTGAACATTTTTCTGTACTTATGTATGTTCGTTTTACGATTATACAGTTCACAGGTGTAAGTTTTTAATGGATCATTATGTACGTCAGTGAAATTTGGTTGCATCGCCCTCCATACGAATTACCAAAGACATGTCTTTAATTAAATCAATGTACTTATGCACCGTTAACGACTAATTTCCTGAAACACATGTTCAGCCGATAAATATTAACTTACGCAAAAATCAATCACGTCCTTAAGTCTTACGCGTAAGTACAAGTGGAGCCTAGTCAAAAGTAACATTTACGATTAATATTATCACCCCTTTATGTTCGTATCATCTTTTCACCGCATTCTTTTCTGGCACGTACGTTAACATCATTGTTTGATGCTGCTATTATTATCACTATCACCATTATTATTATTATTATTATTATTATTATTATTATTATTATTATTATTATTATTATTATTATTATCGCTACGTCCACCTTTACTGGCGATTATCTTTACCCCTATTATTGTTATTATTATTATTATTATTAATATTATTATAATTATTATTATTATTATTATTACAATTTATTGCTATCAACTGTTGATAGATTATTAATATTATATTATGACGTAATTATTATTATTATTGCTATGATTCTTGGTGGTATCGTTACTATGAAACTTTATTACTATCATTAATATTACTTTTGTATCTATTATTATTATTATTATTATTATTATTATTATTATTATTATTATTATTATTACTATTACTACTACGATTATTATTATTATTATTATTATTATTATTATTATTATTATTATTATTATTAATAATTATTATTATCCACGATTTGTAGCAATGGTGATTACGATTATCCATGTATTATTTTTTTTTGTTGATATTATTGATCGTTCAATGTTAAACAGTTGTTATAATGCCACGCGATTCCGTTTTGTGATCGCGATCACAAGAAATTTTTGTATCGATTTTTACAAAACCCTTTAGAGGAGCCGAGCGAACACGGATCACACGTGTCGAGATGTGTACTTAAATCGATCGTTCTACCCCCGATATATGTTCGAACTACAATTCATTGTAACCGTGAATGTATTTTCTCAGCGACAGAAACGTTTCAATTGTGCATGCAAATTTTCGAGTGAACAAAATATGTAAAACCGGTCGGTATGTTGGCAAAAACCGATTATCGATGATTATCATGATTTTGTACGTAACAATGAGTGGCGTGATCCTGTTCGTCCCGCGTCATCGTAACTACCATTACTATCAGTACCAACGTAATTTATCATTACCACTAGATAGTACGTATACTATTTTTTTTTTGTTCTAAGTGCAAGAGATACACAATCCGTACGGCGATATCAATCGCTCTTCGGATATATATGTCGCCCTGCAATGTTAACAGATTACGAATACTTTATTTTGCTGTTTTCTTCTCTCGTAGAACTTGTTTTTTGTTTACTTTATTCTTTATTCTTTATTTTTTTTCTAATTTTAGATTTGCGCGTCCACCGCGTTCGTTTTCCTTGGTGCTCTCGAACGTGCCGATCATTCGAATGCGCGTAACACGATTGTTCGATGACTCGAGACAGTGATCATTAGAGAATTTATAGGGAATCGAGTATATCGTCTAATTTTGTCCTGTTCACCGTTCAATCGGGGAACCTCCGAGAACACCCGCATGAAATGCGTTAAAATCGATAAATTTGTCTAATTTACGAACGAACAATAATGCTTTTTCTTTTATCGCATCGAGAATCAAGACGAATGATCGACGGAACCACGAGTGACGATCGTAAATCAAATCAAACGGAAACCAAATTTCACCGCCAAAACGCAAAGTAGTATCATCCCCCTACCAACCCCACCACCCTCTCCCATGCGCACTTATAGAAAGTTTACATGCGCGTGTACATGTTTACGTGTGTATATGCGTGTATTATATAGGGAATATGGAGAAAAGATTTATATATATACACACGCACACACACACGCACATATACATATATATATACACACGTACATCACGTCTGGGCATTACGTGTGTTTGTTTGTGTATGTGCGTATGCAGATACATGTACAAAATAATCAATGTATATTTTACGTGCGCTATCGTTGTTGAACATTGACTTATCTGCGTCCCCCGCACCAACGTTACGTTTGAAAATGACCGCGTGAAGGAAAGATTTTTTTCGTTTACTTTTTATTTCACCACCCTACCTCCTCCCCAAACCCCAATCCTGTTCCCCTGTATTACGCTGTATCTCTTAGCGCACTCTACGACCGATCGTCGAAAACGGTCAGCGAAACGGAATTAAAAGAAAAGAAAAAGAAAGGATTGTCGACTTCTAATGAATTTTTTTTTTCGTTTCCTCCGATGTCGTATACCGCAAGGTCAGCATGTGGCGTATGTTGAAGTAACAATACATTGTATTTATTTTGTTGGTTTAATTTTCTTCTTTGCTTTTTTTATCGCCTGCCCATCGCCTCTCCTAACCTCCTCCTCACCTCCTCCTCTTCTTTCCGTTGATCCCGTCGAATTTCGTTCCAACTTATTGTTAGGTTGCTGCGTAAGTTCTGTCCGTTTCGGTGCATCGCCTACAAATTCGATATTTCGAGATATTTTCTGCTTACCTCGGACTATGTATTAGGCACTGAAAAAAGTTCGTGCGAGTTGTTAAATTAAAATTTAAACACAGGGAACGTTTTTGTAGAATAATTCTGTTTTATCTAATAACAAGGGCATAGGCATAACTACCTTACCTATAAATTTAAATTGAGTCCCCTCAAATTGCTTTTTGATATAAATTCAAATTATTTTAATAAATTTATTAATTTAATTAAATCGAACCAAACCTCATCGATAAATTAAGTTTTATTTAAAAATTTCTGTTAATGCCAATTGCATTCGTTAAATTAGTGAAATACTGATTGAAATCGAACGTCAATTTATTGCTAACAAAGCAACCGCACGTACTGTTTCTGATATTTAATATTTTCCATCGCTATTTATAACAATTTCCCGTCTCTGCGGTAAACTATTCTTTTTGTATAAAAGTCTCCAGATTTATTGTTAAAAAATATATATGCAACCGCATGTACACCCAATATTTAAATCAATTTCTATCAGAGAAGTAGTGTACCACCATTTTTTATTCACAATATGTCATATGAATAGCAATTCAATCAATTTGTTATTATTTGTTAATGAAAATCAGAATGGCTTATGGGAAATTAGTCTGAATGGGTTAAAAGCTCATAGAAGCGATAAGAGAGCAGATTGTTTAGTCGAACGAGGAGGTAAATAAAACTTACGCAACAACCTGATATTAATTAGCTGCTGTAGCGTGATTCGTTGCGTAGAACACATTCTGTACCACTCATTGTATCGGGGTACGTGCATGTCTTTTGTTACGTACGATTGCGATTCTCGAGAGGCTATTTGCATCCAGATGGTCCAAATACATACATTGCAAGTTTTCTTATTTGGCACGAGTCACTTCCAGGGATTGAAAAGGTTC